AAAGGAATGTGGGGAACCTTAACAAACTGCTCATGTACAGAACTGCATATAAAATGAATATGGAATTAAACTCACTCACCTCCTATTACACTTTTATCACTCCGTGGAGAGCGAGTCGGTGGCTTTGTGTTCACAGTGTAATCACAGCTCAGCTCCCTGCTGAATGGAGACTCTAAATGCTTCTGTAGGTCAGTATTATGTATGTAAAAATTACAGACCTTTCCCCCTTTAGTCCATGTTGAACTGAAGGGCTCAGGTGTGTCTCCAGTGTACAGATAACAGCTGATAGTTTTATTAGTTTCCTGGCTAAACGAGCAGAGGATATACACTATCCCATCTCCAGAAGCCTGATTGACTTTAATGATTGGTTTTCCTGGCTGCCCTGTGTGGAAAAGGAAACACTTTACATGTGAGAAAAAACATAATCATTTCAGTATCTGAGTTATACTCCCGAAAAGACCTTAAAACTTAATGCTACTGTCAAACTAAATGTTATTCCAGATTAAAAAATATATTTAAGTAAATTATAAACTGATTATTTCTTACATGTGCTTAACCACAGTGTAACATGTAGAGATACAGACGTCCCTCACACACACTCACAGAGTCTGGGCTACATGGCTGTCAGTGCAGGAGGAAACTAAATCATTCCAATAACTAACATGCTCTGTTTAACACCACGACCTATTTAGACACTCAGGCACCTCCAAGCATACAGCCCACAGTAAAGGTCAAATACACAGCAGACACAGGCAATTACGTTTGGATAATATCAGATCATGGCCTAGTTTTCATATATACTAACCTTGTGCTTCACTGAACTGAATGAAACCTAAAAACAAAATGAGAAGTAAAATTACTGAAGAAAGGAAATAAATATAACATGAAATGGCACGTTTTAAATAACAAGGTAAAGTAATGAAAAATGACAAAGCCAAGCTAGACAGACACAACTAATGAAACGATAACTCACCATGGTTGAGGATGACAAGAAAGAGAGAAGCACTGGAGGAGAAGGACAACTTCATTTCTGAATCGGATACAATAAAGTCTGAGTGAACAAAGAGGGAGCTGCATATGTGTGATTCTGGTTACGCAGCATGTAGGGTGTGAATTAGGAAGTGCGGACGGGGTGGAGCTGTGCTCACCACAGACATACAGAGTGCATGAGACGACACGGTACTCAGCAGGGCGCCACTCTAAACCTTTCACTTTGTCTCGTTAAGTAAAAAGCAATTAAATGCTTTCCTCAAATCTCATTTTGCAAAATGCAAAGGTTATTCTGATGTAGATTAAATGTCACTCAACAGGTTGCTTATTTCATATAGTGCATACTGGTTCAGTCCTTCTCACTTTTAAGGTGGATGTCCAGCAGAGATGGGCTGTCTAAGGCTGCCAAAGAGTATCTGAGTCGTGAGCAATGGTTACTAAAGGTGGACCTGATGCAAGAATATAAACAAGCTCACCAATGAGGTCACCAATGTTAAAATTGCAATGCTGAGTGTTTATTTTTGCAATAGTGCTCATGGGCAGAAATGTATAAAATACTGTGATAAAAACTGTGGCCATAGAAGGAAAAAACACTCTTCTTAATGCTTGAGGTTTTGGAGGTTAGAGGCTGATACCTTTTGTCAGCCTTGAGATGATTTTAGCCGTCCTTGTGATGTAGGCTGGTGTAGAGGGAGTCAACCAGTGAGAGGCTGCATCAGTTAGATGACCTTACATGTCTTGGAGAGGAGATGCTTCATCATGCGCCTTTGCTTCCATACTAGATGATTATGCATGAACTGAAAATTCTGGAAATGTGAGAGTGCAGTAAAGCGGTTCTTAAAGGACCATCACAGAGGCAAACAATTTGGGGGGGGGGGATGGAGGTGAGGAACTGGTGGGTCACTTAGGTAGATGTTGGTATTCGTAGCGGAAAGCGGAAATACATGACCAGAGGAACATATATCATATAACATAAGCTGACACGCTGAATGATGCATTCAAGAAAAACTGCAACACCAACAGATCAGGAACAAGTACAGGAAGCACT